ATTGAACTCAGGCCCTTGCACTTACCAGGGAAGCACTTATTCCACTGAGCCATCTCCCCGGCCCTAAATCAGGTTCATTTCTAAGTCTGACAAAGTGAGTCTTACACAGTACGCCTGTGAAAATTCACAGCTCAAAAGCTCCTGACTCAGGGACTTACTGTATTTTTATTTTTTTTTGAGCCAGGGTCTCACTATGCAGTTTGGGCTGACCTTGTGCTCACTTTTGTAGCCCCCCAGGCTGGTCTCAAACTCACAGAGATCCTCCTGGCTCAACCTCCCGATTGCTGGGATTATAGACGTGCGCCACCATGCTCTGTATTTTTATTTATTTATTTTATTTTTGGCAGAACCAGGGATTGAACTCACACCCTTGCTCTTGCCAGGGAAGCACTTATTCTATTGAGCCATCTCCCCGGCCCCATGTTTATTTATTTTTAAGGCAGGGTCTCTCTATATAGTTCAGACCGGCCTTGAGCTCACTTTGGAGGCCAGGCTGGTCTCCAACTGGCAACGATCCTCCTGCCTCAGCCTCCCAAGTGCTGAGATTACAGGCATGCACCACCTTGCCTGGATGTATTTTTATTTTGTGACAAGGTCTTGCTAGGTTGGTAAATTGCCCAGGATGGCCATCTTCCTGCGTCAGCCTCCCAGCATGCTGGGATTACAGATGTGTACCACCATTCGTGGGTAAGAAATGGACTTTCAGCGTTTTGTTTATTGAGACAGCATCTTGCTCTGTAGTTCATGCCAACTTCGACTCAGTATGGCAGGCCTTGAACTCATGGCAATCCTCCTGCCTCAGCCTTCCAAGTGCTGGGATTCTAGGTGTGTGCCACCATCCCCCAGGTCCTTTTGTTTTTCGTTTTTCTGTTGGGTGAAGACGGCAGACTTTGTTTTTGTGGTGCTAGAATTGAAACCAGCGCCTTCTGCACATTTGCTCTCTGAGCTGTACCCCCAGCTGTACCCCCAGCCTTGCACACAGCCAGCCTTCGTGTTCAGAGAGCTGCGGGAGGGGAGATCAGATTCTTTGCCCTGCTGGCCCTGCTCTGTCTAGACCTAGTTTCTGCGACTTGACCCCTCCTGCAGCATGTACCTTGCCCAGAGCCCGCAGGTGGGCTGGAGTTGCCTAGGTTTGGTCTCTAATACCTGGCAGCAGATGCCACTTCCGTTGCTTAAGGATTCCTAGGAACCAAATTAAATACAGACTCAGGTGCCCATCCCTGGCACTGGGCTCTGGAAGCCGTGGGACACAGCCCACGGGGTAGCATGTGTCTTGTCTCCTATGATCTGGATCCACCTTTCCAGAGACAAAGATGAGTCAATGCCTTTGTTCCCGAAGCAACACAATGATCTCAGGACTTCATGCTTGACAGATAGGCGCCTTGCTCCTGAGCTCTATCCCCAGCTCTTTTTTTTTCTTTCTGGGACAGTCTCCCTCTGCAATTCATGCTGGTCTTTAACTCACTACATAACCTAGGCTGGCCTTGAACTCATGGTGATCTGCCTTGACTCACAGTGCACTTATGTGGCCCTCTGTACTGGTAAAACCTTCCCTTCAGGTCTCCCAGAATTAGAATTCTCACCGTGCACACATCTCACTGTTGGGGCTACTGGAGCCTGGGGGAGAGGGTGAGAGCCCAAGGCTGAGTCCTGAGGCCAGGGGCAGGGATCTCCCCAGTTCTCCAGTGTGTTGCTTTAAAAGGAAGGCCCCTCCCTGGCAACTGGTGCTCAGCTGGGGCCTCAGGGGGCCCTTGGGAAAGGAAGGAGCAAGACCGCAAGAGAGGAGGACTGGCCAGAAAGGTGACTTTGACAGCAACCAGAGGCCAGGACAGGCTGCACTGGAGGCAGAAAGGAGGGCCTGGGCCCTTCCCGCCTGACCTCAGGCTGAGGTTGGAAGGTCAGTGACGTCCGCTGCAATGCTTTGCACATGATGTCAGCCTCTTACTTGGCATTTTTCTTGCTTTCTCCAACAACCCTGTACCCCATTTCCAGAGGGCTATACTGACACCAGAGAGAGACAGTAACTTCCCTAGGGTCACTTGTATGATTGTTTCTGTTCCTCCAAATCTTTGCTTTCTCCTGGCTCCTAACTGTGGTAGAAGGCAGTGTCAATGTGTCGTTTCCCAATATGGGGGCTGCTTGCCTTTGCTTTTCCTGGACCTCCGGGAGTGGTTTTGGTCTGAGAGTGGCCTGTGTGTGGAGGGGTTCTGCCAAGCTGGCAGTGTGTGGGGCTGCCCTTCCCCCAGGGCTACTGAGCAGGTCCCTCCCACTGAGACTGTCCCTCATCTATTGCTGGGACAGCCCTGCCTGCCTGTGGGGAAGATGAGAGGAGCTGGGGTGTAGTTGTGTACTTGTTTTCCTTTCAGAAAGCCCGCAGAGTTTATATTGTTTCACAATAAACAAGGCCATTGGATGTAGGCCAGGCGGGAGCAGGCACAGCTGTGGTGTTTGTCACAGGGAGGAGGCTGTTGCTGGGCTCCGTCAGCCATGGGGACAACCAGTTGTTCCTGTGGGTCAGAACCCAGCCCCGGGGAGTGGGAGAACTTGGCACATCACGAGAGGTCTTAGTGCTGAGTCCAATCTGATCTGTGGTTTCCATACTACAGATGAAGAAATGGAGGCCCCAGACAGGAAGCTTTGCTCAAGGTCCAGAGTTGGTGCTGTCTCTGGTGCTGGGGAAGGAAGTAACCTGGGACACTCCACCTGAGCTGTATACCTCCAGACCTTTGTATTTCTTACTGTTACTGTTTGGTGGTTTTGAGAAAGGGTCTCATTATGTCGTTTAGGTTGGCTTTGAACTCACTACATAGCCCAGGCTGGCCTAGAACTCTCTGAGCTACTCCTGCCTCACCCTCCTGAGCAGCTGAGGCTACAGGTGTGTCCCATGGTGCCTAGGCAGGTCCAGAACTTTATGACCTAACCCCTCTGACCGCTGTCTGTCATTCTTTTTTTTTAAATTTTATTTGTGTGTGTGTGTGTGTGTGTGTGTGTGTGTGTGTGTGCATGTGGCCAGCTCAGCCCACCAGGGGGCAGGGCTGGCTGGCATGTGGTGCTGGGGATTGAACCACGGTCCCTGTGCTTTGCTAAGCTTGTTCTAAGTAGGTGCTTTAGACCACTGAGCCATCTCACCAGCCCTGTCTGTCATTCTTGTGGGGGACAGCACCGAGCCTCTAGCCTTGAATACAGGCTGGGTGAGAGGATCCAGGTGGAGTGGGCAACTGCAGCACAGAGGTTATGAAACCACCAGCGTGATGGTCACTTTGCATCAGAGTATGGGATTGGACCAGTTTGTCCAGGACAAGCGTGAGCGGCCATCATGAGGTGAGGACCAAGACCTTGGGCGGTGGCTGGCGGGTCCGCGGGTGCACAGCGCCCCTGGTGTCCGCCTCTCTCACTACAGTGAGACTGTGTCGCTCTGTCCCCAGTGGGACAGAGCTGCAACCAGGCTCAGAGCCACACTCCTCCTCCTCCTCCTTCCCAAGTACGGCGGTGCTCTGGGGTTGGGCTGAGGATGTGCTTAGTGGCAAACTAGGCTGCTGCTGGGCCCCTGAAAGGTGAGGATCACAGGGCCCAGTTTGCACCCCAGTGTCCCAGCAGGAGCAGGTGGGCGCCACAGCTCCACTGCCTAGCACCTGGACTGATCCTTCTGGGAGCAGTGTCCTCCTCGTGTCACCACCCCACCCCCACTTCGCAGCCCTGGGGGCTGGGCACATACAGCTTCACTGCCCCACACGTTCACTGCACCTTAGGAGCACAAAGCGAGATGCCTGAGTGGATGTTTTCATCTACAAGGCTGTATTCTTTCTTAGGATGATGGATTTTCAATTTATTTTTTAAATTATTTTTGTGGTACTAGGGATCAAACTTGGGATTCTGCACTTGCCAGGCTAGTGCTTATGCCGCTATCTCCCTGACCCTTTATTTTATTCCTTTTTAATTTTTTTGGTACTGGGAATCAAACTCACAATCTCATGCTTGCCAGGCAGAGGCTGTGCCACTGAGCTATATACCCAACCCCTTTTCTTCTTCTTGAGGCAGGATCTCCCTCTGTAATTCAGGCTGGTGTTTAACTCACCATGTAACCTAGGCTGGCCTGGAACTCATGGTGGTCCTCCTGCCTCAACCTCCTGAGCACTGGGATTACAGATGAGTGCCACCATGTCCAGCTAAAAAGTATTTTGGAACAATACTGAGAAACTTAGGAACACTCCAACTCAAAGCTGAGGTAGCCCCTTGGAAGCTCACAGAAGCAGGCTAAGTGGTGGATGGTGGCTGGCTCCAGTTTCCCAGCTGGCCTTGGCTTGATTCTCAGGGCTGTGCTGTCCTGTAGCTGCGAAATCTCATCCAGGGCTGCTCCAGGGTGCACGTCTCTCGTAGACCACGGCCCACCGCGTCCCTCCAGCTTGCAAGGCAGGAATGGCTAGTGAGGGTTTGGCCCCATAGCCTGACATTCACTGAGCATTTGGGCTGTATATTCGCTCTCCCTAGGCAGCAAGATGGGTACCATTTTCAAATTCACAGAAGAGAGAAATGGAAACAGATGGGCCCAGGGGTCTTCCGCACAGGCTGTGCCAGCCGAGTGGGCCCTCGGGGACTCCCCGCCTGAACAGGTCAGCTCTCAGGAGCAGAAGCCAAGGCAGGCTAGCACCTCCCATTCTATTCCTAAACTAGTACACTGGGGAGGGGAGGGACTCATGACGAGGCGCAGAGAGCAGCTGTGAGAACGTGGCCTGGATCTGAGTGCGGGCTCAACCACCTGCCAGTTGGGCATCTTGCTTCTCTGCCTATTTTCTCCCTGGTAAAGTGCTGCCAATCTGCCCACCTCAGGTTTGTGTGGAAGCATTCTGGCCAGTTGGGCCCATAGGTGTCCACCACAGCTGGATGACAAGGCTGCAGACACAGCCAGCAACCCTGACACCGTTTAAGAATGCCACTGTGGCAGGCAGGGAGGCCCCTGGTCCTTGAACCCAACTCATAACCAACATGGAACAAGTAGCAGCTGGGCATGGTGGTGCATACTTGTAATCCCTGCACTCAAAGAGGGTGAGGGAGGAAGACTCCAAGTTTAAGCCCAGTCTGTCTCTAAATAAAAACAAGCTGGGGATGTAGCTCAGTGTGAAGGTCCTGGGTTCAAGCCTTGACTTAACCTTGGTGAGGTCAGTCACCCCCTGATGAGTCATCTAGCAAAGACCTTAGATCAGAAGCCACTCCACCATTCCTAGGCAGTGACCTGGGGCTTGTAGTAGTCTGAGCCCTAGCCCTACCTCTGCAGACTGGTGGTGAAAGCCACACATCCTTCCTCAGTCACCACTTATCCACAGGCTTACAACCCTGCAAAGGCAGCACGGCCTCAGCAAGTTAAGAGCTTGAGGGAGACAGGGTGGCCTGGGCTTGCCTCACCCCCGACACAGTGAGGGGATCTGAGCACCACTCAAATGCAGCAGGCAGAAATGAGTTTATTGCATTAGAAAAACACCAATGAAAACTAGCAAACACCCCTGTACAAGACACAATTATCAACCTGACTTCAAGGGCATAACGCAATCTCAAAGGTCTGAGCTATCTTTCTGGGAGGAGTGATGGTCTCAGCTCTCCTCCTTCCGTCCCTCTCTGTCAGTGCACCTCTAACCGTGTCACAAGTGCACCCATATGGAGCTGGCTAGTCCTGTGTGCTCCTGAGGTTCTGGGATGGACGGAAATGTGGGATGGTGCTGGGGGGCCTAGCCCAGGCCTGGCTTCTGCAAGACTTGCACAGGGGAGGACTGCTTGCCCCCCACAGCCCTTGGTCACTGCTTGCCAACCCTTCCATCTTCCACAACCCAGGGCACAGGCATTGGCACAAATGGCTGCTGGGCATGAAGGGCAGCGTTCAAGGAATCAAGTGACTCTTAATTCCCTCCAGGAGTCACTCAGGAGAGCTCAGCCCTGGGGGTGAAGGTGACTGCTGGAAGGAGCAAAACCAGCTGAGCCCAGACACGAGACAAGGAGAAAAGCTCGGCACCCTCTGCATAGAGATGAACGCTTCAGGCAGATGGGAAAGGGGGACACTGGGCAGTGGCCTAGGCCAACCGGCCACCCTTTGGGAAGAAACCCAGCCTGACACCCGTTCTCTTTGAAGGTGCCAGTAGGTCAGCACCAAGCAAGCCTGCTGCCTTCTGCTCTGACTTATCACTACTACACGTTAAGTCTGAGAAATAAGCTGCTCACTTATTTGGCCTGGCCTTAAATTCTAAAATGCCACTTGATACCAGCTGGACATGCCCCTGCTCAGGTCACAGGCAGACACCAAGGCAGAACGACATCTTTTCCTCTAGCTGGGACCCTGATGATGCCAACTGCTATAGCTAATGGCAGACCGCAGGGGCGGGGCTGGGTTGAGCAGAGTTTAGGGAGGAAAGGGCCCTGTCCTGGAAGGAGCAGATGGACTCAAATTTTAGAGGGGCAGGGAGCCACGGCAGGAGGGCGCAGGCAGGCAGCTCTGAGTCTCTCCCACTCGCCCCCCTATTGCCCACGGGAGCTTGTGAGAAACAGTCTGAAAAGCGGCCCAGATCTGAAACTTCCAGACTGCTGTCTATAAGCTCAGCAGTAAGTCATTAGTAAAATGCCCACTCACACCCCAGCAGCACCTCCTTAGAGCCAGAATGATAATGAAAAGGATATGCACCCTCAAAGTGCATATCCTTCTCCTCAGGACAATGGAGAAGTCCTACTGGAAACAACATCATTTTCTTGCCACCTTGATTCTGCATCATATTCCTTCTACATCTCCTCACCTGGGACTTGTGTCCCCTCAGTCCCTAACTGAACAATGCATACAGGGCTGGGTGTGGTTTCTCTGCAGACAGAAGCCCTGGGTATCTGCAGTTCTGGCCTAACCCGTTGATTGTGGCAGGTCCGATAGCTCAGGAACAGCAGCCTCACTGGCATGCAGCAAGGCGGGTTTCCCAAATCAATGGCGGAGGATTGGCACCAGTCTGGGTGGGAAGAGGAATGGCTTTATCCTGTTTCTCTGGCCTGGTACTGGCTGTCACTGTCCTCTGATTCTGAGGCTGTGATTGCTGCAGCCCTGGGCCCATGCTTGCGGCAGAGGAGGGAAGGTGACAGAGGTCTGGTGAAAGCTCACGGAGATCAGGTTAGTCATCCTGCAACCGGCCCCATGTGCACCGCATCCTTTGGTTCATTTAATGATAACAGTAACTGCTTCCGAGTCATGGGTGTTGGAGAACTCCCTGGTCCTGCAGGTGTGGCAATCTGGGTGGGTATTCTCTGGAAAGAAGTTCTAGGTTGAGGCTCCCCCAAACTGTCCCTCTTGTCTACTGCTAAAACAAACCCCCTTCCTTTCTCCAGTGCGGAGGACGCTTAGGAAACAGCGTCAAAAGTGAACTCACAGACAAGACAGCCTTAATAAATTAGTATAATACTATTCGAGGGGGGGCGTTTTGTTTCATTTCTTAGCAGCATTGTCCTACATGCAGCCTGATGAGCTCCTTCCTTGGGAAATGTAAAAAGCCGTCCCCTGGTTGTTAGCTCCGATGTAAAATTATAAAATAGAAATTTGGTAGGGTTTGCTGTGTTTAAAAAGGAAAATCCCTGCAGGGCAGGGGGGCGTCCCGAGCAGTCTGGTTAGCTCTGGCCATTGGGCCTGCCCACCGTGTTCCCTCCAGGAGGCTGGATCTGGATGGAGTCCAGGAGGGGCCGGAGGGCTTGTCCGAAGGGCCTGTGGGGAGAGAGACAAGATCACTTGGGCTGGGCTGGGGCACGTGGAGGGGGCAGCAGCGTCCCTACACTAAGGATGGCCCTGGGATCTCAGGCAACTTTTCTGGTACTTAGAATTGACCCTGGGGCCTTCACCCTGAGCTACATTCCAGCTGTTGTTTAAAATTTTGAGAAAAAGGTCTCGTTAAGTCACGAAGTTGCCCAGGCTAGGCCTGAGCTCGCGATCCTCCGGCCTCAGCTTTCCCTAGCTCTGGCCTTCTGGGTACACAGAAGCTCCCACTTAGTTGCCAGCTCACTCACTAGTGTTCTAGAGCACGCCTCGGTCTGGATACCTGTTCTTCAAAGGCTCATGTGTTGCTTCTGGGCTGGGATGCTACTGAGAGGTGGAGGAGACTTCAGAGGCGAAGCCTATGGGAGGGCACCTGGTCACTGGGCCATCCTTGACGGAGAGAGTGGGACCCCAGCCACCTGCCTCCTCTTTGCTCCTGGCCACCAGGGGGCGAGCGCTCTGCTCCAGCCTATGCTGCCTGCCCAAGGGCTGAAACCTCAGACACTGTGAGCCCAAATAACCTTCCTCTTATGAGGGCCTCAAGTATTTGTTACTGCAACAAAGGTGGTTAGCATGGAGGTCCTCTCTCAAACAGCCATCTCTAGTTTGTAGACAGGGCCTCACTGGGTAGCCCAGGGTTGCCTTGAACATGCAGTGGTCCTCTTGCGTCAGCCCCCCAAATTCTGCGATTACAGGCATGTGCCCCTACACCCGACCTGCTCTGTGTGGGTTTTATTTCTGCCATGCCGCCATCAGTGGGTACTGCCGTCTCCAAGCCCTGGTGAGTGAGGTGTGGTTTGATCAGGCTAGCTGCCCATGGGAAACTGGAGCTCTCTGTACTTAGGTACTTGTACCTATAATTCTTGTGAAGATAAAGTTGGAGAGGAAGCTGAGGGAAAATGGCAAGAACATGAAGACGACAGTCAGCATGAGGGTGGCACTCAGTGAGGTTCTGCTGGCACCCAAGCTCATCCAGGGAGCACAGAGATAGTCAGGAAACATGACCCCGCCACACCCCGGGGCCACAACCACACACAGTGAGGTGTGGTTGTCATGTTGCAAAAGGCTCCCAAGTTGCTCTGGTGGTAACTTAGCTGGAAAAATCACAGCAAATACTGGAGTTTTAGAGACTTTTCAAGGTTATTGCCCTCTTAAACATGGCTGCCCACGGCATGCCTAGGCACTGGTGTTTGCTTTGGTGGACATGGCTATGTTGGAAAATCACCCCAAGTTCAAGGGAACGAAGCACTCCCAAGTGTAAACAGACGAAATCGAGAACTATCAGCCCTAAGTCAGATAAGTCAAGGAACTCCACCCCGAGAAAACAGTGAGAACATTCTAGCTACTCCACCTCGCTCAGGGCCCAGAAACCGAGATCCTAAACTGCACACGCCCAGGGACAGGAAGGTGGGGCCAGGGCTGGGAGACTGGGGCTCCTCACTGTCTTGTTTTTCCTGAGAGCTTTGGACCCAGCTGTGAAAACCAGCTCACCTGTGGAGCCAGCTCAACCTGCTGGGATTCCTACTGGGCAGGACCCTAGTTTAGGAGACATGCAGTCAGAGCCAACACATGGATATGGTCGATGGGCCGACAGCGAGGCAGGGGAGAGGGTGCTGTTCTGGGAATGCGTCTTCCAGAACATGCTGCTGCCTGGTGATGCTCACAGGCCCTGCCATGGCTGGGACCACCGGAAAACATCACCTGAGGGCTGACAGCGCGTGCAAGGTTAGAAGACAAGAAGAACTTGACCTCAGCAGGCCTCAAAGGACTCAATGCAGTGGAAGAAAGAACAATGAGCTGGGTGTAGTGTGCACACCTGCAGCCCCAGCACTCAGGAGGCTGAAGCAGGAGGATCACCATGAGGTATAGGCCAGCCTGAAGTACAGAGCAAGGCCCTGGGTTAACCCCTTGTGCTTCCCCAAGAAAACCCAAAAGAGAAGCCAGCTCCAAACAAGCTGCTTGCTGCTACTCTAACCTCGTCTGCGGCTACTCGGACACTGCATTTGAGCTGGGCGCTGCTCTGAGCGGCGTGCTTCACACAGTGCAGACAGGTGCCAAGATTTTGTCCAAAACCTAAAGCCAGGGTTGAGGGGTTTCTAAATTCCTTGTTTTTGAGACAGGGTATTGGTGTATAGTTCAGCCTATCTCAAAATCACTATATAGTCCATGCTGGCCTCAAACTTTTGGTGATCTTCTGCCTCAGCCTCCTGAGTGCTGGGATTACAGGTGTGCACCGCCATACTTGACTTGTTTTCTAAATTCTGAGCTTGGACCTAGGCCAGGGTGGGGTTGGCCTGACTCTGATGAGGGTGGAGGCGATGCTGAGGTGCAGGAGTGGGTAGGGGAATGGCGATGGCTTCCTGTGGTGTGGAGACTGCTATTGGGACAGGTCCTCCCAGTTGGGAGGGTTCTGGTTCCCTCTCAGGAGGGTGGATACGGGCTGTGGAGGGACACTGCATATTACTGGGGATTTTCAAAGCTGGCCAAGCAGGGCCAGAGCCAGAAGCTGCACTTACGTGGAAAGGACTTCAGAGGGCAGGTCAGTGATGTAAGATGGGATCTTCCGCCCGGTCAGGAACTGTGCCACTTCGTTGCTAAAGGTGTTACAGTTGTGTTCAAAGAGGTTGTAGGCTTCACCTCTGTGCAGGGTGAGAAATGTGGAGGAGGAGAGACGATAAAACAAGCACGTGGACCAGGCGAGGGGGAGCAGAGCTGAGGCGAGCGCTCGACTGCCCCTCCACACACCTAAAGGACTGCGTGATCTGACATCCTGGGCCTTTCAGAACTGATTTCTATGGGAAGGGTGCGCTAAACATGTGGACTGTGCTGTGTGTCTGTCTGTCTTTTTGAGAGTCTCACTCTACAGTTCAGGGTGGCTTTGAGCTCACTTTGTAGCCTAGGCTGCTGCTGAACTCTCAATAATCCTCCTGCCTCAGTCTCTTCAGTGCTGGGATTACAAATGTGTGCCACCACGCCAGCTCTGGATTGTACAGTTCAGAATCTTCCATGTTCACAAGAGAAGTTTCTCTCTAGAGGGAAACTGTTGGGGCCGGGGAGATAGCTCAGTAGAAAAGCACTTGCCTGGCAAGCGCAAGGGCTTGAGTTCAATCCCCAGTTCTGTGCCCCCCCCACCCAAAAGGAGGGAAACGGTTACTGAAATTGCTTAAAATTTTTTTTTTCTTTTTTTGGTGTTGGGGGTGGAATGGGCTTACGAAGCAAGTGTTCTACCACTGAGCCACAGCTTCACCCTCAGCTGAAGTGAGATCTGTTCTAGTTTGCATTTCACCCCAACCTTGCTATAGACTTAATTTATTTTATTTTTTTCTTTTGCAGTACTGGGGATTGAACTCAGGACCTTGCATCTCCCTGGCCCACAGACTTAATTTTTAATGTCCAGGACAAAGCATCTAGCCAGTGAAGGTAGAGAACAGCATTTGCTTATTTTAATCAGAAGAAATGAAGAATCTGCCTTTCCTTTAAAAGTTCTAGAGGACCAGGGAGATAGCTCAGTGGATAAGTGCCTACCTGGCAAGTGCAAGGTCCTAAGTTCGATCCCCAGTTTAAAAAAAAAAAAAATCTAGCAGAATTCATGCTGCTATGGAATAGATGCCTTGAAACAACTGTGGGTTTTTGTAGCATGGTACCTGGTTTATCTTCACATTCAGTCAGCAAAAACCAGGCCAGGCTTTGCACTGGGCAACACAAGGACAAGGCGCAGTGGCTCCCTTCCCGGGAAGACAAATGCGGGTAACTACCATGCGGCCTCCACTTACCGGAACAGAGACTCCCCCAGGGAGGACAGGTACTCCAGAAAGATTTCTTCAGTCACTTCAGTGCTCCCCACATCAACCACAGAGTCTGGAGGCCCAAGCAATGTTCCTCCCTAGAAAAGCCAACCCAAAGAAAGTCACTAAATCACCAATTCCATTTTTTTTTTTTTTTTTTGTATGGGGGATTGAACCCAGGGCTTCATACATGCTAGGCAAGGGCCAGCCAAATAGCTCAGTGGATTAAAGCATCTGCTTAGGCAGATGCAGGGACCAGGAGCTCAGATCCCAGGCCTGCAGTGCTGGCCCCGCCCCTGGGGTGTGCTGAGACAGCTATTGAGACTGGGTGTGGTGATGCGCGCCTGTAATCACTGTGAGTCCAATCTACAGCAGTGAGACCCTGTAGACTCTGTCCTAAAATACAAAAACAACCAACCAACCAACCAAAAAAACCCCTTGTTCATATATGCTAGGCAAGCGTTGTACCAATGGGCTATAACCCTAGCCAGCTGCTGAATTTTCTGAACGTGGCTTTCCACAGAAGACCACAAAAGCACTGTTTTAACAACTTATTTTTAACTTCTCGCACATGCTGGGTAGATGGAGAGGGCTGTTTCCTGTTTGCACAAAGTGTACAACAGCTTTCTTTCCACGGCCATGTGCTGCCAGCAGAGCATGACGCTGGCTTCTTGCTTTTGGGGGCCCGAGAAGCTGATTCTCTTGCAACTTCTGCTGTCCACTCATTCAGCTGATAAAGGGAGAAACCCAGAATCTGCAATCTCTTTTGTCCCTAACATGCCTGATTACAAGGACAGAATAGATAACTAGAAATGCCTCACACCTGCTCTCCACACGTACATTCAGAAAGAACACAGACTATTTTTTTTGTGACATTGGACGTTCTTTTTAACAATGGGAAATTGTGAAGGAGTGTGAGGAATCTGGCAGGACTGCAAATATTCCCACAGTCTAGGTAACTTTTGATCTGAGGCCAATCTGCTGATGGCGAAAGGGCAGGGTGGGGTGCTGGCCCCTGGAAGGGCACAGAAAATCTTGACCACACTCTAACAGACTGCTGTCATAGGAGACTAAAGGAAAGACAGGGCCCCAGGAGGGGATACCAACAAAAGGGAAGTGACAGGAATATGGAGAACAGATCCAGGAAGGGAGAACATTCTAGAGCAGAGCTGCACGAGGTCATTAATTCACAGCACTGAGTGCCTCTTATGTGGGTGATGTGGTCTAAGCACTGGGGACAGCATGGTGAGCAGGACAGACAATGCTAAGGGGCTAAATAGTTCAGTGCTGAGAGAGACTGAAAAGTCACTAACAGATACTGCAGTCACTCACAGGACAAACAGGTATCAAGACGAAAAAATACAGCCAGTGTGTGATTACAAGTAGCAATAAAGGCTGAGCTGGAAAAGTACAGAAGACCACTAGTACATATGTCAGGGGACTCTTTCAGTCTGAGGGGAAGGCCAAGGCTTGGCCAGGCTTAGACCTGAAGGATAGAGGGGCCCACGGGAGGAAGATCCAGAGGTGCACTGGGTAGGAGTACAGAGTCACATGTCCAGGGTTGCTCAAGGAGTGGGGAGAGGTGGGGCTGGAAGAGCGCACGCTCAGAGGGACCCGTAGATGCCCTGGGAGGGGAGAGAAGTGCAACTGGCTGTGTGTCTGGGATGGGCCTCTTCAGTAGGCCACGTTTAGGGGCTGTGCAGGGCTAGGGATGGTATGCAGGGCCTTGCACACGCAAGGCAAGTGCTCTGCACACCCAGGCCTTGAACAAATCTGAAGGTGGTGGTGAGGCCTCCATGCAACGCGCAGGAGGACAGAGGCACATAGCAGAAGCAAAATTTTTAGTCTGTGGGAACTCCTAGCAGCCTAAGACACGGGGCAGGGCCCAGAGGAAGACACTCACCGGGGGACAGCTGGAGATGCCGCCACTGCCAAAGAAGAACTCATCCTTGTGTACAACTATGGAGGTGTGCCTGTGCAGAGAGACAAGGGGAGTCAGAAACTCCAGACTTGACCCAGAAAGGCAAGCACTACACAGCAAGAGAACACCTTCTCCCCAGGGGTGGCACTGTGGTGAGCAGCCTTACAAAGCTGACCAAATAGAGGCAGGAATAAGATAAGGTTGGCCCCCTTGTCCGCAGGGATTGTTTTTGAGCTCTACCACCACAGACACCAAAATCTGTGATGCACAAATCTCTTTTAAAATGGTGCACAGTATTTGTCTGGAACCTATGTACATCTCCAAATCATTTCAAAATGACTTAATTATAATACCTACTGCATGCAAATAGTTATGCTCTTTTTTTTTGGTGGCCTGAGTTTGCCTTCAGCACAGGTCTGGATTGGCTTGAGTATCTGGGTTTCGAACCACAGCACTGTTATGCTCTATCGTTTAGAGAATAATTTTTAGAAAGTCCATACACTTTCAGCACAGGTATGCTTTGTTTTTGGATTCTCTGGGCACTGGGGGTTGCACCCAGGGACTCATGTGTGCCACAGGCAAGTGCTGAGTCGCATCCCCAGCTGTGACACAATCCCCCTGGCCCCTGCAGTATCTGCAGCTGGATGAACTCACCCAGATCAGGGCTTCTGCACTCCGTACGCTGACACGGGGGCTGGCTCACTGTTGTGGGGTATCCCGCACATTACAGGGCACTGAGCAACTTTCCTGGCCTCTCTGCATCCACCAGCATCTTCCCTCAGCCATGACAAACAGCAACGTCTTTTTCTTTCTTTTTTGAGACAAGGTCTCGCTATATAGCCTAGGCTGGCCTTGAACTCAAGGTGATTCTCCTGTACCACCCTCCCCAGTGCTTAGATTACAGGCGTGCACCACCACACCTGGCCAACAGTGTCTCTTGACGCTGCCAAATAACTGCCATAGAAGAGGGTGGAGGTACAAAACAACAGCCCTAGTGGAGAACTGTGGCTGAGTTTAGGGTGTGAGACTTTGCATGGTGTAAGGTGCTCTAAGTGGTCACCAGAGGGCTTCCCACAACTTACCAGATGCCTTCCAGTTGTTTCCCTGTGGAGAGAAGAAGAGATTTAGCCACTTGGGACTGGACTACAGGGCCCTCCTTGAGTAAATCTGGAAGAGTCCCTCATCCCTGAGGAACTGGGCGTAACCCTTGGGGCACTTTCTAGTACTGCATCCCTCCTCAGTGCAGGCAGGGGTTGGGCAAAGGGTACACTGTTAAATCCAAAGGAGTCATAGACCTTTATCAGAGGCAAGATAAAAACACTGGTATACATGCACACTGATTTTATGAGTGGTTTTCTTTTCCCTCTGAGGTCAAATCAGCTTTGCTTTTAATTTTTAATTTTTAAAAAATTTATTTATGTATGTGTGTGTGTGTGTGTGGCCAGCTCAGCCCACCAGGGGGCGGGGCGGGCTGGCATGTGGTGCTGGGGGATTGAACCGCGCTCCCTGTGCTTTGCTAAGCTTGTTCTAAGTAGGTGCTTTAGACCACTGAGCCATCTCACCAGCCCAGCTTTGCTTTTTAAATTTTTGTTTCACACCTAGTAAGGCCATAGGAAATCAATATAAGATATTACTATTTCAATGAACTGAAATTCTTCAGAAAATAATGCAACCAAACTTTGTACATGTCATGCATTTTAATAGTCAATGGGCATTCATCTACCTACTTACCTACCTTCCTACCTAGCTACCTAGCTACCTACCTATTTATTTGAGACAGGATCTCACTAAGGCTGGCCTTTTTGTTTTGTTTTGTGGTACTGGGAATCGAACTTGAGACCTTGTGCTTGCCAGGCAGGCATTCATACCACTGAGCTATATACCCAGCCTCAAAGCTAGTCTTGAACTTACTGTGTAGCCCAGGTTGGCCTCAAGCTCATGGCTCGCCTCCTGCCTCAGCCTCCCAAGTGTTGGCTGCATTTATATTAGTTTTTGGTGCCTCAGGCATGTGTTCTACTACTGAGCCACATTCCCAGCCCAATGCACATTTATTCCATATGTGCCAGTTCACTGTTAGGTGGGAAAATATAAACACCGATTACTGACCTGCTTTTAAGGAGTTCAAAGTCAAGTGAAAAAAGACAATTAACTAAACCACAATGCTGATGGCTCTGTAATAGGGCCAATGGAGGCGAGATCTCACAGGATCTTACGGAGCACCTTAAGCCTGAGCTAAGAGTGGCCACTGTCCACATGGGGCCATTAAAATAAAAATGAAAATAGTGTTTGAGACTGGATATCAAATCTGCATCTTGTACCATAAATAACCATTAGGACAACAATATGCATTATTGAAAATGTGCTAGTAATCGGTTGTGAAGCTCATTGCTATTTGGTTCTCAATAAAAATATTTTAAAAAAACCTAAAAAAATGAAGTAAAATTTTATTTTATTTTACAATTGCATAAACCACATTTCAAGTACTTTAGTCACGGTAGCTATTTACTGGTCAGTGACCACATAGTGCAAGTCTAGAATGTTTCCAGAAAGTTCTGCCAGCATGTGGTTTGAATTTTAGTTTTCTATTCTGTTAAAAAAAAAAAAAAAAAAAAAAAAAAAGCAGGCATGATAATGATGTCTGTTTCATACTTCTCTTTTTCTTGTACCAGGAATCGAACTCAGGACCTTGTACTTGCCAGGCAGCTGCTGTGCCATGGAGTTATATCCCCTGCCCCATTTCATAATACTTCTAGAGTTAAAAGAGAAGTTATACAATGAGGCAAGAACTAGGCAAAGCCTGAGGTCATAGGGCAGTCAGAGGACTTCGGCCCAGCAGTGATAACGAATTTGAACCGCCAAGTCTTCTGTGCTAGGCTGAGGCTCACTGGTCTTCACAAAAACAGCCTTGTCAGCTACATATGCGTGCACATGAAGACAATAGTGGGACGTATATGAACACAGAGTAGCCACGCAGTGCGTCAATACGTGGTCTCTTTTGGGCCCGGAACCCAAGGCCTCCTGTCTGCTGGGCAAGTGCTGTCCCACTGAGCTCCTCCCCAGCCTGTGTACATAATTTCGCTAGGTACATATGTAGCTCTGTTTGGCAGTGTGAGGTGTTTCGCTCACATCAACTACAAAACCACCATCGATACCTTGAAATGTGTCTAGCATAGTTATGGCACATACCTCATGCCCAACACAAGTTAATTCATTTCTTTTAGGCTTTATGATTTCAAAGTTTTATAGCTGCTCTAATAGTACCTTTGTTTTGTACTTTTAGGGAAGGTCTACATGGTGTTCAGGATCTCACTACTACATCGGACTCAGTGAGTCTCCTGTTTACAGCCTTTCAAGTGCTGGGATTACAGGCGCGCGCCACCATGCCCAGTCTCAATCTCCGTCTCAGCGTGCCCCGGGGGGGGGGGGGGGGCAGGGCCAGCACAGTAGGCCCAGGGATCGAAGCCCTGGCCCCTGTGCCTGCTTGCAGATGCTTTAATTCACTGAGCTATTTGGCCAGCCCAGTATTTTGGCATTAAAGGCAACTATATGTGTCTTTTTTCCCAATTAGACTACAATTGCCTCAAGGCCAAGGACAGTTTCTTACGAATCTTTGCAATTCCAGCACCTGTCAAAGTCTTTAGACTGGCTTTGCTCCACCAGCATCTGCTGAGTTAAGCAACTGTTTAGTCAGTGATGCTTGCCATGTGGCGCACTCAAGGTCCAAGGTCTCTCCCCACATGGTTTCCCTGGCTAGGTACACAAATAACTCTACAACAAACAAACAAACAAACAAACCCCACCACCACCACCAACAAAAAAACCCAAATGACTCTTCAACTTGTACACTGGCTCTGCTACTGCCCCGCAGATGCCCACTGGGCTCAGTGACCCACAAGGACAGCTAGCAGACATGGATGCATAAACTCAAACCAAGGCTCATAAAAATAATTTGGAGAAAAAAAAAGAAAGAATTTGGAGAGATCATTCAGCCAGCGACTACATCTGAAAGTAACTGAAAAGTTGCAGGATACAAAGTTTACTTTATTCCTTTTTATATCCTTTCTATTTATCACTAAAATCATCTGTAAACTAGAAATTATACTTTAGCCGAACATGGTGGTGCACACCTGTAATCCCAGCACTTGGAAGGCTGTAAACAGGAGAATCACGAATCACTGAGAGTTGGATGGACACTATCCTGGGCTACAAAGTGAGCTCAAGGCCAGCCTGAACTGCATAGTAAGACCCTGTCTCAAAAAGACCAAAAAAAAAAAAAAAAAAAAAAAAAAGAAGGAGAAAGCAATCAAGCAATCATACTTAGCTTCTCAACTGCAAAACCCTGCATTTGATCCCCAGCAACAACAACAACAAAAAACCCAAACTACCCATAAATGGTAGTAGGAGTACATAAAAAAAAAAAAAAAAAAAAAAAAAAAAAATCCTCTATTCATTCTCTTTTTAAGTTTTCAGTCTTCTGAAGTTTTTCATAGCCATACTTAGGCTTGTACCATTTTTAAGTGCTAGGGCAGGGCAAAGCTTGTCTAGATGAGTAAAGATACGTGGTTTGGTATAAAAGCAAGACAAGTGAGATATGAAAATGAACTTGTTGGAGAAGTTTAGGGAGTAATGGAAGGCTTACTACTCCATGCCCTACCTTGGGAGGAGGAGAATTAGCTCCATGGCTAATCAGGTTTACAGGTATCAGAAAGTGGGGCTGAGCTGCTCTTTAAATTTTGGCGGCCTGAGTAGGGTAGGAGGTGAGGACAGGGTGGTTCCTTGTCCTTGAAGTAGGGCACAAGGCCATTTGGGGAGCTGAATTAGGCCCAAAGGGTATGAGCACAGTACAGTACTGCGTTATTTCCCTTTAGGATTTCCCCAGTAAAGTGGAGTTGGCGTCCAACGGCTGCATGAGTCCAAGCCTGTGGCATATCCAACACATTCATTTGGAGGCCTGTGGAAGACATGGCCATCAGCCCTGCTGCCCAGCATGAGTAGTAGTAGAGAATGCAGAGCGAGGTCTACCTGAGCCAGCCTTCTACCAAATACAACAACAGAGTGATTACTGTATATAAAGCCAAGGAGAAAGCCTTCCACCCGCTCCTCATTGATTGAGGCAGCTGGAGCTTATACACAGACACACATGCTGTTTATAGATCAGTGCCTGGTGTGCTGCTGCTGCTAAACAAAGGTCTATTAGTAAGCAGAAAGTAGTGACAATGGTGGGACTCCAGGGGCAGGGGCCTCTGAGTGGGTGGCATTTTGTCTCAGATGGCAGGGAAAGGAAATCTACGAGCTTATCAGTATAAATCAAAAATAACCCCAGCTTGCTTCAGAGATTCCTCCTCCCAGCAATAAAGTTTCAAAAAGGCAGTTTACTAGTAATAAGAGAGAGTTAATGTCAACCTAAAAAAATGAACTATTAACCTTGGATATAGGTGGGCAAAGGTAAAAGTTATGGTTTACCATGACTCACCCCCTCTAGGCAATAGTATAAAATATTCCTCCTCCCCCTCCTTTTGGGCAAAATCCAGAAATCATCATGCACTAACTGACAGGAGAGTCAGGTGTGATAGTGTATGTCTGTAATTCCACAACTCTGAGAGGCTGAGACAGGAGGATTATGAGTATGAGGCCAGCCTGAACAATTTAGCACAACATAATACTCTAGTACTTGGATTCCCTGGAGCCAGTATAGGATTCATACCCAGCATAAAAGTAACTTGAGTGGGCTTGCGGGTTAGCTCAGTTGTTTAAAGCGCCTGCTTGGGCAAACTCAGTCAGGCGCCGGGGACTGCGATTCAATTCCCAGCTCCACATGCTGCACCAGACCCACTCTAAGGCAGCCAGAGTCAGCCGAAAAAAAAGTAACTTGAGTTATTTTCTTCAGTACTGGGAGGGTCCCCACCTAATTCCTGCCTATTACCAGCCAGGCCTCACAGCAATGCTTTGGGGGTGATAATATCCCACCCTTCACCAGCCAGTGGTCACGGGATGCTTGACTGCTAGACTGGGGATACAAGAGACAGCGCAGGCCTCCATGAGCTTCCAGTTGTGCTGGGGCAGAGTACGGAAACACAAGATGATGATGCCACTAACGGAGCATA